ATAACTCAAAAAAAAAAGGTTTATACTTTAAATTAATTCCATAAAATATATAGAATTATTGCAAATAAATAAATAATTTAATTTTTATCATTTTTGCAAGATTTGAAAACATCACTTTCAGATAGTTTATATCACTCACGAGTCTTGCGTCATGATTGCGTCTTGCATCACGAATTGAGTCTTGCGTCACGAATTGCGTCTTGCGTCACGAATTGCGTCTGCGTCTTGCGTCTGCGTCAATGCGTCTCACACTAAACTAATTGCGTCACACGACTTTTAATTTTGACGACATGTATACTTAGTAATACCAATTACTATTACAATGTTCACTTTGTCTGGTTTTGTTGCAGCATGCCCCAAATTATTTCGGCGTGCATCGCCGCAGGGACAATCTCGAAATTTTGTCGGTGGTTGTACCAATGATGAGATACTGAAAATACTTTCGGAACTTAAACTATTTCAGTTCCGGTATAGGAGCCGAAACTAATTTCGGTACAGTTCTGGTTTGATACTTTCCGAGACTACAGGCATGCTATGAAGGTAATTGCATAAGCGTAAAAAGGATAATCTTGTTAATATCAATATATTGGATTTAATGTTATTTGTTTATTTTGTTTTTGGGAAAATATTTTTAAAGGAACTCTATTATAAAAAATTGATGTAGGAAAGATAGTTTTGTTTTCTTGGGCGGGACGATGCATAATATCATATATTGTTAAATTTATGATCAGTGTTGTGACACAGTTTGATAATCAATTGACAATGTTGCAAATCTATAAAATCTATAGATAATAAAGATAATAATAAGGGTTTTCCCCAAATGACATCATAATGCTGTATTTGTTATGTTCGAAATTGGAAAGCGACGGATAGACCCTTCTTCTTTAATGTTATATTGATGTGACAATTCGAAATTCTAATTTCACCATTTTTATTTAGATCATTTTCCTATCTTCCTTTATTCGATTTTTTTTTTTGAATTTCAAGTAATGTCGGTGAGCCCTATATAAATTTATATATTAATATTGACATACAAATCGTTCAATTTCTATTATTATTTTATACGGCTATCAATCTAAAGAAATTCTGTTTTTGCTAGAATTATGAAAATGACGAATATAGTCTTCAGACCGGTCCGCTTGGCAACGAATTAGGGTATTTATTTACAAATAGATATTAGTTCCTAATCATTTTTAACATTCCTAAACAATTATAACCGTTTGATAGAAATGAGTCACCAGATAATCACATTCAAGAACAACCACGTTTATTGATTATGGGTTTAAGGAGGTTAGTAAGAAATTACTTGAAAAAAATATTATATATATATATAATATTATTATAATACGATTTACATATTATACATTAATATGTATCTCTAATTAGGAGCGGAAAATCTAGCATTCAGAAAGTAGTATTTCATAAAATGCCAGCAAACCAGACATTATTTCTTGAGAGCAATAACAATGTTATTAAAGAAACCATAACGTACGTGTAATTAAAAAGTATTTTATATAAGAATATATAAACAAGAGTATAAAAAAATAATACTTTATAATTAAATACTTAATATTAATAAAAATAGTCATTCATTTCATTATTAACATACTACTTGTGACGAACAAAAATACATTAAACAACAAAATAATTGATTAATTAGATCATTCATTGATTTTCAAGTTTGGGATTTTCCAGGACAAACAGACTATTTTGATTCGACATTTGATACAGATGTGATTTTTGGTGAATATGGTGCTTTAATTTTTGTGATTGATGCACAAGTAAGTTTTTGATCTTGCTCGTGACATGATTTAATTTTTTAAAAAAAGGAATTTTATATATATTTAATTAACATTTCTCTCTTCTCATCTAATTAACAAAGGATGATTACGTTGAAGCACTTAATCGACTTCATCAAACTATTACACGCGCATATAGTGTTAATCCATATCTTATATTTGAAGTGTTTATTCATAAAGTGGATGCACTGTCTGACGAATACAAAATCGATACACAAAGAGATATTCAACAAAGAACAACTGATGACTTAGCAGATGTTGGATTAGAAAATGTTTCTATAAATTTCTACTTGACTAGTATTTATGATCATTCAATTTTTGAAGCATTTAGTAAAGTGATTCAAAAACTTATACCCCAATTGCCAACGCTAGAAAATTTATTAAATATACTATGTTCAGTATGTGTCAATTGTTATTATTATATTTAATTTTTATTAGTGATGATAATGAATGAACGTTCACTAATATTTAAAATTATTGGATTTAATTTGTTTGATTTATTTAGAATTCTGGTATAGAAAAGGCATTTTTATTTGACATTAAATCAAAGATTTATATTGCTACCGACAGTTCTCCTGTAGATATGCAATCGTATGAACTTTGTAGTGATATGATTGATGTCATTATCGATATTTCAGAACTTTATGAGTAAATATTATTAATATAGTGAGAAATATTTAATCTTTAAATTATTTTTTTAATCAAATTAAAATTATTTTAGACAAACAGATCCTTCTAATAAACGTAAAAATAATAACATCGAAGAAGAATTATATGAAAGTAGCGATAATAAGTCAAGTATAAATGTTATTGATACAAATGATGACGGTGGTGGAGTTTCATTAGATACTACTAGTGCTACTTATGACACAACTGCCGAAACCACTGGTGGTGATACATCATCATTGATTAAATTGAATAACGGAACTGTATTATCTATTAAAGGCATTAATAGGTATTTTTGATGATGATAATAAATTTAATAAATTTATAAAATTTAATTATCTAATTCTTTAAATTATAGATTTCTTGCGCTAGTTTGTTTACTTCGATCAGATGGTTTTGAAAACCCTGGACTAATAAATTATAATTTTCAATGTTTTAAACAAGCAATGACAGAATTATTTGGATTAAAGAATAATCATCGTTAGAATATAATTTTTGAAAAAATTAATAGACAAGTGAGCAGGAGTGATGAATGATGGATTGATAACGTTGTTGATAAAAAATATTTTTTATTTTTTATTTAATAATATAATTAAATAAGTTAAATGATGATGGTACAGATTCAAAACTTTACACATAAAAGTTATATTTAATAGTAATGATGATATATATTGACGAATATATCTCTTAATTTATTAATACATCATTCATCCACCTCATATTTATTTATTTTTAAGAATTTTTGTTAATTAAATCTTCTAAATTAACATTAATGTTTAAATCCTTATTATTATAACAATTAAAAAAATCTTTTAAAACATTATCGGCATCATTTGTTTCTGGAAATTGCTCAACTAGTAATTTTCGTAAAGAAACCCAGAACTGTGAATCTTTAATTTTATCAATGCCTGAATTAGAAAGTTGGGTATCTTTTACTGCTAATTCTCGTTGCTTTTGCTGCTGTGAATCAACATTTTTTGATACTGGTGGTGATGATGGAGAAGATGGAGAAGATGAAGAAGAATCAGCAGAAACAAGGTTACTTCCACCACCATCTCCTCCTCCACTACTAGTAATTCCGGGTTTATGAACCAAATGAACTACAGTACCATTCGTAATACCATGTTCAAATAAAGTTTTAGTATCAATTAAAGCTTTGCCTTTTAATATTAATCTTTGATTTGAAGGTGTAAAGGAGGTTATTTTTTGCAGTTTTTCTTTCAAGTTATAGATAGTTTCTGAATTGTTTATCTGTACGGTATGCGTTAGGTTTCCCTTTAATGATTTAACAGAGACTTGAATTGGTGTGTCTATTTTAAAAATATTATTTTAGTTAATTCACTAGGAAAAAATATATTTATATTTAATTTGAAATAATAAACATTACCTTGAGCTGATGAATCATTTATAATTTCGTTACCTTTTTCTGTTGATTTACTACTTTTTGAGCTTGTAGGGGCACTAGGTGCCTAAAAAAAGTTTAATATATTGTCCATATATTATATATGTGTAATAATAATAAATAATAATAACAATACCTTGACTATTGGTCTTGGGCGTGTTTGTGTAGGTGGCGAAAAGTCTTTAGGATATTTTACTTGACGTGTACTTAAAGTTTCTAAAAATTGAGAAACAAAACTTGTTTCATCGACTAGACTCATCTTTTAGAAATTTATTTTGAAAAAAAAAATCAAATTTTAGGAAGTTTTGTACAAAGTAGTAAAATAACCGATTTAGTCTAGTAAATAATTTTATAAAACCCTTTTTGCTTTTTTTCTTTCACTCGCTCATTACTCACTCATTTACTTTAATCATCATAAATTAGCATAATAAATAAAATATGACAACGACAAAAGAATTAGTTTGGTTAATGGGTGTTTCATATGAAGTTGACAAGGATCAACTACCACAATCAGAAAATAATAATGAAAATAATAATAGTAGTAATAGTGTCGCTGCATTTTATGAATCTGCAAACTATTATTACTACTACTCAACACCCGGTACGTTTCCTAGTATATCAGCAACTATGATGCAACAACAACAACAAACTATATTACCTTCTAGCTATCCTGCAGCATTTTATGAAGATTTTACCTCAAGAGTATGGTGTACCTACCGACACAATTTTCCACAAATAAAACCAACTACTTATACAAATGATGGTGGTTGGGGCTGTATGTTGAGATCTAGTCAATCTTTACTTGCGAATGCTTTATTCATTCAATTTTTAGGAAGAGGTATGTAAGACAATCGAATCTTTAGATAACAAATAACAATAGTAGTGCTTGATTTGTAAATTTTATCATCAAAAAGACTATTTGATAAATTTAAACTTATCGTTGTTTTTTTTTTTTAGACTGGCGTAGAGTACATAAAGGAGAGAAAACTTGGGATAAATATGTAGAGGTAATTTTTTGTGAATTTTGGTTTGATTTATATAATTATAAAACTCTCACAAATACTAACTTATTTGTTTATTTAATTTTAGATTATAAGATGGTTTGTAGATGATATGTCATCAAATTGTCCTTTTTCTGTTCACCGTATTGCTTTATTAGGCAAACAACTTGGGAAGAATATTGGTGAATGGTTTGGTCCATATATAGCTTCTCAAGTTGTAAAGTACGTTACATGATGAGTTTTATTTTAATAATTATAAAAATAATTTTACTTAATGCTTTTCACAATATTATTTATATTATCTCAGAGCATTGGTAGAAAATTTTTCAGATGCACAATTAAATGTATACATAGCTACTGACGGAGTAGTATATAAAAATGATGTTTACAAAACAGCCCAAAATAATCTTTTAAATAAAGATTTTCAATCAATATTGATTTTGATATCCATTAGATTAGGAATAAACAATTTAAATCCCATATACAATGAGGCTCTTAAGGTAAATTTTTTTAGTGAAGATTTTTTTAAAATAGGGGGCTTTAATCATATTATTATAATTATTAATTTATTATTTCAACTATATAGTCATATTTACAGTTTCCACAAAGTGTTGGAATAGCAGGGTAATAATTACTGTTAGAAAAGCTTCAACAAATCTTTCTTATATTATTTTTAACATATTTATATATTTATATTAGTGGGAAACCATCATCATCTTATTACTTTATTGGATCACAAGGTTTTAAACTTTACAAAAAAAAAAATTTATCAAAGATTTCATATAAATATTTAATTATTAATTTAATATTTTTATTTATTTACCAAGGCGATGAATTTTTTTATCTTGATCCACATTATTCTAGAGCAGCATTAGAATTAAAATCAATTGATGAATTCACAGAAGAAGTAAGTAAAAGAAAAGAAAATCATTAAATTATTTTGGATATTTACTATTTTGTATGTTATTTAGGAAATGTCTACTTATCATTGTGAGACATTGCGTAAAATTCCAATTTCACAATTGGATCCATCTATGATACTTGGATTTTATTGTAGAAATAGTGAAGAATTTGAAGACTTTTGTCAAAGAATTGAAAAGGTTTTTTCATTTATAAATAAAATTTTAAAATTTTTATTTTACTACATAAATACTAATATATAGTATATATGTTTTCTGTTTTATATAAACCAATCAATCAATCTACCAATTAATTTAGATTAATGAAACTCAAAAGGCTGCATTTTCTATTGCTCAGGAAGCTCCAGTATATGATTTTGATGATGTAGATATTTTGTCAGATGAGGATGACGACTTTGATAAATTAAAAGATGAAGAATTAAAAAAAGGAAAAGATGATAATAATTTAGATGATGATTTAGATGATTTTTAAAAATAAATATATTTTACCAAGATCATTTATCATAGCATAGAAGCCTCTCACAATGATTATTGTAACAATAATAATTTATAAATTTCTATCTTTATTATTATTATTATTATTATATGCAAATTTTTAAAATTTTTATTACTTTTGTACATATCTATCTATCTATCTATCTTATCTATAAATTTTATTTCCATTTTTAATGATTATGATCAACTCAATAATTTTCAGGGGTTCAAATCTTAACCCAATAATGTGTAAGATCATTTTTTATTGCTATTCTTAACCAGGGCTAGCCGCGTAATCTAAATGAGAGCATTTGGCTAAACTGGCTAAACTATTTAATCATTATAGTCAAACTTTGAATTATGAAAATAGGATCGGCTTATCAAAATTCGGTTTATGATTAGTATTATTACTATTAGAAGTTTACTTTTAAGGTAATTATTATCATTATTATCATTGCTGTTATTTTTTAAAAATAGAAGGGTTAATGGGCAGACATGAGTAATACAACCAGAACTGTTGGTTTATTTCGTTTCATTCATTTATCAATACAGATTATTAATGTTGTGTTAATATTTATTTCCTTCAAAAAATGGAACTATGGCAGTAATGATAGTAATGATAATGTAACAACAATCAATAGCAGAAATATATTACAAGTATAAAACGGATTTATCAAAATGCTATCTAATCATATGTTGGACATGTGACCTAGCCATTATTTTTCCCACTAATACTAATTAGATAAAAATAATCTCTGACTAATCTAACACTACCACTTTACAAATAATTCCATCTTTATGTGTACGCTTACAGAATCACTAAAGCTTTCTAGGTAAAAGAAAGAGGTGGTGGTTTTTTAATACATTTTTTGTAAATATTTTATATATGTTTTGGCAATTGAACTGGAATGGTTCACTAGAACTGGACAACCAATCAAAATTCAGAATTCAAAAAAATCATCATTAAAATTACTACTTGTTTACTTTTACTATATTAAATTTGTTAAATAAAGTTATAATACACTATTTCCATTCATTGTTTTATTAAAAATGGGAAAGCATTGATACATATTGGTTTTAAATGAAATGGCCAACTCTTTTAATAAGCTTGCTATCTGTAAAGCTTGTAAAGCCCAGGTCTCTTATGATTTTGCATACTCTAAAAAAATAGTAAATACAAAAAAAAAAATGTGTTAAGAATCATTTACAATCTTGTGAAAATTTTTTTGCAAAATATGGAAAAGAAACTGGGCAAGAAATCTTGGATAATACAGATAGCAAAACTACAAAAGGCCTGTCAAGCAAAAAATTTAAACAAAAAAAGAAAATAGAATAACATGTGCATTATGTGTAAAAAATTTTTTTGCAATCAAGAGTTGATTGATTAATTGATCAATATAATAACTGTTTATTAACAATGTTATAGAAGTTAAGAAATTATCCAAGAATTTATTGGCAATTTCACACTAATAATGGTCATGGAATGATAAATAATAATAAACAAACAGAATTCTTTAATGTAAAAGCAACAAGTTATGGTAACTATGTTTATTAATGGTATAAGGATAACATTAATCAATTACTAAAGATCACTCTCATCATATAATTCAAATGTCCTATTAGTGGCATGGTTCTTTCACCTGATGGCATAATGTTTACATCATTTAGTAGTTAAAATATGGGATACCACAACAATGCTTCAAACAATGAGAGATGCTGAAGAAAGAATTTGAGTTTGAGTGGAGAGGATCTTTTAGGAAAAATATCCAATGGTTTTTTTAAAGAAAAATTATTATCTGGCAAAAAATTTTTTCAATATATTCATGTAATAAAAAAATAACTTGGTGATTGATTAATTTTTCAATGTTGTGTACATATATTTATTTATATATTTATTTATTTATATGTTAGATTTTTGATGTTATAACAGGAAGGCCATATTGAAGGAGTATTATCAATTAAAAGTGTTACATTTCAAGGAGAAAATTATTACATAAGTTCGAGCCAAGATGGAAATTTTGTTAATGGAAGATGGAAGATGATTTGATGTAAGTAGTCATCAATCAATCAATTATTAAGTTAATTTATCATTACTAATTGATTATATTAAAATTTTTTTTTAGATCACCAAAAGAAAAAGAATGCATTGATGATGGTGATAATGATACGGCATTCACTATTTCATTTCTTCCAAATACTGGTAATAAATATTTCTTTGCTACTATAAATGATACAGTTAAATTGTATGATTTTGAAACAGGCCAGGTAAAATTATTATTTTTATTATTTAAGTTTTCCTTATAAAATTTCTGTTCATTTGATTTAGTTTTTACAAATCATATTCGCAATATTGTGATTGTGGGAAATTCATACATCCAGCAGAATCATTGATGGAAACAGATTATGAGATGAATGGCCAAGATGGTATGGTGATGGCGAGGATGAAGAAGATTATGTATAATAGAGTGAAGAAGGCGAATAAATAAAAATCACCATCAAAGATTATTACTCCTTGACATTCATATTTATAACTAGAGGTGTTGAGATGTTAAAAAAAATCTGAACATGAAAGGATAGGTATATATATATATATATGCATTAATAGAAATAATATTATTGGTTTATGAATTTTTGTATTTAAAATTATTAGATATGTGTGTATTTTACACAAGTTGATATATCCAACTAGAAGAGAAGGAAAATTTTGATTGGAAACAGTCAGAGTATTTCAACATAAAAAGTAAGTGAAAATTTAAATAAGATAATCAATCAACAGATATTGTTGAGTCTTTAACAAATCATCATTGTTGATTTCTCAAAAAAAATTTTTGGATAAAGTTACATTTCAGATTCTTGGTCAATACCTTGCTGTTCCAACAATGAAAGGAGAAGTTTGTGTATTTAATTAAGAAGTGGGAATATTGTTTCAATACTTGGTAATCATGAAAATGGAAAGTATAGTTTTTTTTCTAATATATAATATGAGAAAAGAGTATGAAGTTAGAGATGTCATATTTCATCCTTGGAAGCCATTATTATTTACATGCAGTGATGTTATTAATATTATTATTATTAACAACATCAATTTATTATAAGAACAGAAATGATGTAATTCATTTCTTCAACATAAGTAATTTTTAACTTGAATGTGGAAAATAGTGATTATAATTATGATAACCCAAAAAATGGAAACTGAGCTTGAACAATCACAAAAAAAGTAATTGATATTTTACCTAACGTTATTATGACGATGTTTGAATAATAGGATAATAATCGACATTTTTATATTGTTCTAATCTTTTATGTGGAAATGGAAATTAATTAAAAAAATTTGTATTAATTCAATATCAATGATGTGTTTGTTTCTCGCAAAAAAAAAAATTAAAGATTTTTAGTCAAAAGTATTATTTTCGATGTAACATGGACTACATTGTTATAAGCGATGTCTTCCAAGTATTCCATCAATATTTGAAGGTCCAAGCTCAAAGTCACAAGATGAAGAAAGTGAGAGCGAACGCCCTTATTCCAAATTTGTATTTCTTGATAATCAAACTTTATTTCGTTGTATAACTTTTGATTTCTAAATTAGAGAATTTTAGGTTGATGGATAATGCAACAATTTATAACAAAAAAATTTGTTAAGATTGCTTCAACAATCATTTGGCCAACAATGGAAAGTTAATAAACAAAACGTTAAAGTTCGTACGACGGCAATTTGCTGCAACAAAATAAATACATATAAATGAATGATGTCTCATTTTCCAAATTTCTTTCTTTCTTTCTTTCTTTAATTTAATTTACCAAAATGCTTTCCTATAACTTTCCAGAGCTATCTTCAGATCCCTTGGATCTTTCTGTAACCAACGATGCACATGATACCCTTATAGAAATCCACGATAGAACATCCGGCGATATCAAGATTTTCAATGCGCATTCAAACATGCTCCGTAGAAGATGCGAATATTTTAAGATTGCTTTATCAGACAAATGGTCAAGAAAAGTTGATGATAAGCATAAGCTAAGATTGGATGTTTCATCTGATGCTTTTGAAATGATATTAAAGTAATGAATCAATTCATATTTTGTTTTTCTAACTTGATGCATTAATAATATTAACAGTTATTATTGTAATTCGCAGCGGTATCTGTAGCGGAACGATATTTTTGAAAAATTTGAACACGAATATTTTAATGGAATTAATGCTGGTATCTGATATCCTTCTCCTCCATGAGTTTTTCAACCTTTTACGATCCAAATTAAATGAAAAGAGGGATAAAAACAAGGAATGGTGCAATGAAGATATTGCTACTATATTAAGTGTCTCTTATCGAATTCCGTCCACTCAAGACCTCTATTTAATTTGCCAAGATATTATTGTAGAGAGGCCATTGATTTTATTTGAGTCCCCAATATTTCCATCGATCGACGAGGAATTATTGTTGCGTATCTTGGAGCTGGACATAATTTGCTTACCAGAAATCATGATTTTTAATAAATTGATTGAGTGGGGCATTGCAAACACCCCTGGTTACGATACTTTAACCAATAATGCATCTCAAATGGATGCATTGGGTGACACTTTGGAGAATGGGTTGCAACTGATTCGATACCGCAACATGAGCAGAGAAGAAAAGATGTCGATTCTCAACTTTGAACGAATATTGCCAACAGAAAAGGTCAAAGATCAAATTCCACCTCGCATTAATTCGCCTGTCGAGCCAAAATTTATTAGTAGCAGATTTGCTGGATTAATTTCCACGTGGATTGACAGAAAGGATCCTACGGAAGCTCCATACACCGGATTAAATACACCATTCCGATTTAGGCTTGTGTTCCGCATGGGCGATCAAACAACCTTCTATCAAGAACACCGTAAATACTACAACCAATCTTCAAGTAGAATCTTACCGACAATAAAATGCCACCACGGGCCTTCGCTAATGTTAATGAAACTTAGAAGATCTGGAAAAATAATTGGTGCATATAATCCTATCGATTGGAAGCAAGATTTATTAAATAAAGTATATGTTTGTACATCAGAAAGTTTTATTTTTTCATGCGAAGATAGATATGGAACGAATCATCGATTAAGCAGAGTTCGTGATTTTGATCATGCTATTTGCCTAGAGGGCGTAAATCCCAGCGGGGTAATATTAAAATTTGGCGAAGATTTAATATTTAACCCTATGAGAGGGTATGTCAAGTGTAATGTCGAGAATAAATTTTATGAGCAACCAAAAATATTGGATGAAGAAGGCAGATATGGATATGAGATTGAAAAATGGGAGATTTATCGAGTCAGAAGAAAAGATGATCAACCAATGATGATAATAAACGAAGATAAACATAAAGTTTCACCTCGCATTAATTTACCTGTTGAAACAAAGATTATTGATAGTGACTTTTTTGGATTGATTGCGACATGGATTGACAGAAATGATCCTGTGAAAGAACGGTACACCGGATCTGAAATGCCAATCCAATTCAGGCCTGTGTTTCGCATGAAGGATCTAACAGACTTTTATCGGGAACATTCTAAATATTATAACCACGCAACAGATAGATTATTACCAACAATGAAATGCCACCATGGGCCTTCATTGATGATAATGAAACTTAAAACATCAGGAAAGATAATTGGAGCTTATAATCCCATCAATTGGAAACAAAACTCATGCTTGAATGAGTATAAATCCACATCGGAAAGCTTTATTTTTTCAAGTGAAGACATACATGGAACAAATCATCAGTTAAGCCGTGTTAAAAACATCTATCGAGCAATTTGCTCAGAGCAGTTAGTTTCTGTTTTGTACTCAAATATTGAAGTCCCCAATAGTGTGCAGTTAAGATTTGGCAGCACTTTAAGGATTAGTTATGACGAAAATGATTATAGTTTAGATAGTACTCCTTCTGTCACTTGTTGTATTCAGCAAAATGAAGATTATGAGCAACCAGCTGTAATATCTGCAGGATATTACGACATTGATGAATGGGAAATTTTTAGAGTCATTAAAAAAGATAATCAAATTCTACATCGAATTGATTCACCTGAACCAAAAATTATTAATAGAATAACTTCCCCTCCTAGAATCGTTTATGACAATTTTCTAGCATTGATTGCGACATGGATTGATAGAAAAGATCCCACGAAAAATCCATATACAGAGTTTAACATGCCTTTCCAATTTAGACGTTTGTTTAAAATGAATATTCGGTCAATTCATGATAAATACTATAATCAGTCAACATACAATTTACTACCAACAATGAAATGTCACCACGGACCCTCACTAATGATAATGAAGATTAAAGATTCTGGAAAAATAATTGGTGCCTATAATCCTATCAATTGGAAGCAAAATTCACCGAATTGTAAGAAGAATACTTATGTTCACACATCAGAAAGTTTTATTTTCTCGAGTGAAGACAAATGCGGAAGAGGTCATCAATTAAGCCGAGTTAAAAATTTTGATAAAGCGATTTCTCAGGTGAACATATATCCCAATGGTGTTCTATTGAAATTTGGCGAAGATTTGAGTTTTATTTATATGCATGGAAATATACATACTGATGAACCAGATTATGGATTGGAAGATGACATTGTATTTCCGAGCGTTGGTTGTCGTGTTAAAGAAAATGGATTTTATGAACAGCCACCTGTATTGCCTGGAGGCATATATGAAATTGATGGATGGGAGGTATTCAGAGTCATTAGAACAAATAACTAATAATGGAAAATATTGGATATTTTATGTGATGCGTCGAATGGTCATTAGCAGTTTTATTCAGAAGGAAGTTACTTGAAATTGCTTTAAATAAAATTCGATTGTTTTTTGGCATGTTTGAAACGCAAAGGTAGCTTCGCAGCTATTTTTAAAAATAAATCCTTGTTTTGAATTTCGTGTTAATTAAAATACCAAATCGGAATATTGATTTTTTACATAGCATTTTTGCTATTGCAACTTCCACTTCATCAGATCAGTGATAATAATAGAAATTAATTATTGTCCTTGGAGCAATTTCTTAGGCAACTTATCTGGAATCCATTGAAACATATTACTTTCCAAATTAATTCAATCCTACTTATATACATTTTATTTAATTTAACTTTTTTTTTGCTATATATTATAAATAATATTTATGAATATTTTATTAGAAGATTAATAAGATGTTGTATTAAAAAAATACCTTTAATATATAATATTGTGAGAATAGTACAGTGAACCCTTCATAAAACGGATTTATCCAAGTGTTATCCAATCGTGTGTTAGACATGTGACCTAGCCATTAATTTTACTTTCCACTAATACTAATTAGATAAAAATAATCTTTTTTGACCAATTAATCAATCGGATAATTATATTAATATTAATATTTCAAAACCTTGCTCATAAAAGTAGAGGCAGAAAGTTAATGTAAAATTATTTCTTTAGAAATAATTCTGTCTTTATTTGTGTGCTTGCAGAATCACAAGGAGACAGTGGTTTTTTAATACATGTTTGTAAACATTTTATATGTTTAATGGGCACTATGAATTCAAGCAGATTCAACTTGATTAAATCACAAATCATTGAACCTTGAAAAATAAAGTCAAAGTATAAAAAAACCAAAAGTTCCTGAAATAAATTCAAAACCTCAACATACCATCACATTTAGTAGGATTATTAGATCAAGTAAAAAAGACAATGAGGAGGATCATCACAATTAACAACACAAATGAAAGTATAAATGCTAAATACACAACAAATAATAATAATGGTAAATCAAAAATAAGTTCGATATCAACAAAGCAAAAATTAAAAGCCAATGGAATATCACAGACTAGAAATTTTAATAAAAAACAATACAAGAATTGATTGATTAATTGATTAATATAATAATTATTTATTAACAATGAATTAGGAACCAAAACTTCAACCATATGATGTTATGGAAGTTATGAAATTACCTAAAGAATTTCCTGATAATTATTGGCAATTTCATGATAATAGTGGTCATGGAATGATAAATTATATAAACAAACAAAATCCACTTGAATTATTTAATGTAAAGCAACAGGTTATGGTAACTATGTTTATTAATGGTATAAAGATAACATTAGTTAATTACTAAAGATCACTCATTATATAATTCAAAGACCCTATTAGTGGTATGGTTCTTTCACCTGATGGCACAATGCTTGCTTCATTTGGTGATTTTGTAGTTATTAAATTATGAGATACCACAGAATCAACAATGCTTCAAACAATAAGAGATACTGAAATAAGAATTTGAGTTTGAGCAGAGGGAACCTTTTAGGAAAAAAAATCCAATGATTTTTTTTTAAAGAAAAATTATTATCTAGCAAAATTTTATTTTAATGGTATAATCAGAAAAAAAAACATCAAGGGATATTATGTTGGGAAGTTTGAACCTATTCATACACATTTGATTGCTGGTGGAAAATTAAAAGATTGACGCAAATGGGAATATAAAAAGGAAAGATAATTATATATTACCAAATCCATTAAAGGTTAACATTAATATATTTATATAATAAAAAAAATAATGATTTATTAAATTTTTTCAACGTTGTATACATATATTTATTTATGTATTTATATACATTATGTTAGATTTTTGATGAAAATGTACTGATAAACTTGAAGGCTATAATTGAAGAAGTATTATCAATTAAAAGTGTTACATTTAAAGAAGAAAATTATTACATAGGTTCAAGCCAAGATGGAAATTTATTAAATGTAAGATGGAAGATAATTGGATGTAAGTAGCCATCAATTGATCAATTATTAAATTAAATTAAATTGATTAATTAATTATTAATAATTGATTATGTTAAAAAATTTAAATGCATTGATGATGGTGATAATGATATGGTGTTTCATTTCTTTCGAATAGATGATACAGTTAAATTATATTATTTTGAAACAGGACAGGTAATAGTGACAGTAAAAAGGAAAAGGAGGAGGAGGAGGAGGGACAAAATGAAGAATCCATTGGAGTACAAATGGTGATCGATGAAGTAGATAACATTAATTATGATGAAGAAGAAAATGGTCCAGCTTTATATGGTGAATATAGAAACTGGACTAGTGAAGAAATAACAATCCTCTTGAAATACAATTTAGAATTGTGCTGAACTCCATGAGTTAGGTCTGCTACAGAATAATCAAACAATCCCAAAGAAATGGGATTTAATGAAACGTAAGATCAAATGGCTCTTCAATGTATATTTCTGGAAATTGAATCAAATCAAAAAAAAAAATGTCATTTTAATAATTCTTGAAAAAAAAATAACCTTGACTTTATAAGAGATTGATCATAATTTTTCTACATGTTATCATTGATTGACTACAAAAATTTTAACACAAATAATGCATTATGGTGAACTTTTGAAAAAAATTTTAATAACTCTCAAGTAAGTTTTATCTTAAAATAATTTTGGTTTTTTTTTTCACTCCTCACAAGTTAATTATTATTGTTTTATTAAAGTACTGGTTGATTTTTTATAATCAATTGAATTCAATAAAACCTAGGAGTTCAATTTTTCTATTGTTGGTTTCTTCACCAACAAATCAAAATCAAGTTAATAACAAATCATCATCTTCATATATAATCAACAAAGAATCAAACTGCAATCAATACCTGGCCCATTGATGCAAAAAATAAATCAAACATTATCACAACATTATTATCTTCCATGATCTTTAATTTTAATCACAGGTGCAGATAGTGATTTGGAATTTTACTGCTATGTCATCATTACCAGTCAGAGTTCAATTTTCAAAAGCAGCTGCACAAATTATGACTGGTGACATTTTAAACTGTTTCAACTATATAAAATTAATTTTTATTTATTTATATATAAACAATATAGATTATGGTGACATGATGATTATTATTTCATTATATTCGGATAGTCAATCAATCAATCAGTCAATCAATCAATTATACAATAATAATAATGATAAAATATAAAAATGATAAAAAGGAAGAAATAATAAAATAATAAAAAAGATAATAAGCAAATAACAAAGTTTTAATATATTTTTTAATTGTATTTTTAATATTGTGATAGATCATAAATATCTGTTGTAGCAAAATTTTTTGATAATCTAATAAATAGTAATAACACTCTTATCTGTCTATCTATCTATATTTAATTATCAACTTTAACAGTATTTCCAAATATTATAAAAATAAAAAAGTTTAGAAAAATCTATCCATCTCTAACTAACAACATTAAGCTAAAAAATTAAAAAGAGAGAAAATGATTTTAGCTTTAAAAACTTAAAAAGATTAAAAATCATCAATCTTACAATAACCAACCTTTATTGCATCAGAATGACAAGTTGCATGACAAATAACACCATTTATTTCCACAGCATTTCTATACATCCATTCTTCTTCATTATCATTCCAAAACATTTGAAATTTTTCTTTACAAATGGGACAAGGTTTATTAGTTTTTTGAATATCAAGTGGAACAATAACAGTCGATTCACTGATAAGATTGTTAATATCATTTTTATTATTATGATCTATTTTTGCCTTTTTTGATCTAGAAGTTCCACTACCATCACCAATTCCACTTGTTCTTTTGTTTAATTTAAAATTGCTAGTATCACATTCAAAGAATGTTGGTGTATTTCCATTTTGAGAATCTGAATCTCTTGAATTAATAAAATCCTAAATGTTTTGTTATTATTTTAGTTAATAAAATAAATTTTTTTCAAATTAGAAACCAAAAAATAAAAATACAAACCTCCTCAGTGACAAACCAATTTCTACTTTGTGCCTTCCTGGCTTTTTCCTTTATCTTACGATTTTGTCTAAAATGCCAATCCAAATGCTTACCAATCTTTCCTCCTCCATCTTTTGAATCTTTAGCAAATCTAATCCCGCATTGTTTACATTGAGATGGGAATGCATCATAAAGAATTGAAATTACTCCTTCACGTTTACTATTATTATAATTATTAGTAAATGATTATATAATTATTATTATTATTACAGGTATAATGAGTTATATAATTACAAATATAGTTACCGCTGAAGATCATTATTTGTAAGTTGAATTCTTTCCAATTCATTTACATGTAATATCCCATGATTTGCAGATGGTGGAGAATTATGACGTTGTTGTTGTTGCTGCTGCTGTTGTTTTTGTTGTTGTTTTTGCTGTTGTTTTTGTTGTTGTTGATTATAATTATGATTAGGTGAAATAACACCAGCAGATGTAGTTACTGGTATAGAAGCAGAAGTGACAGGGTTAGTTAATAATGTATTAGGTTGTTGAAGGATTTGGTGAAGTTGTGGCATTGACATAACAACATTATGTGGTGGCGAAGGAGTTGATAAATGTCGAGGAGCAACATTATTTAAAAGAGCTGGTAAATTATTGGTTGTAACTGCAGTAGTGGGTAAAGTTGTGGCTGTGGCAATAGATTGCGTTGTTGTAGATGCTGATATTAATATATCAGTATTATTAGCATTAGTAATAGTAGTAGTAGTAGGGATAGGGAGAAAAATAAGATTTGTACCAATATTATTATGAGTAAAATTAGCAGTATTACTGGCAGATGCAACAGGGATAGAAAGAGGTAGTTGTTGTTGTTGTTGTTGTTGTTGTTGTTGAGGTGGTGGTAATGGTAATAGTGGTGGTGGCGGTGGATAAGTTGTAGTTGGAACTATATTATTATTATTGGCAGCAGGAACAGTTGTTGCAGCATTAGTAGGATGAGGTTGAATAATAGGTGCTGTTTGAACAGATTGAATATTTGTTGGATTTGTTGTATTGTTGATACCAAGCAACTGTCTGATTTTTTGAATCTCTTCACTTGGAATAGGTTTTTGTTGAATCAATTCACAAAGCTATCACACAGATATATATAATTGTGATTTAATTACAGATTAGGTTATTATGGAAACCCCAATTGTTAAAAAAGAGAAAAAAAAAAATCATTAATAAAATAATTCAATTGATAATTTATTTATAATATACCACCAATAAGAATAATATGGATCTGGTATTATTTCTAATTAATCTGATAAAAATATACAAATCAAAATCAAACCTTTTGTAAGAATATAGTTTGATTTTGATTATTTGTATCTGATGGATTTGTTAAAGCAGTTTGTTGATGTAACAAAATCAATGCTTGACACTCTTGTAATAATTGTTGTTGTTCAGGTGGAGGAATGAACACTTGGTTATGTAAAGGAATTGGTGACTTGTTGACATACTAATGATCATTATATAGATTGATTATATATTATAGTATATAAAAAAAAATGATGATATCAAGATCAATAATAGTAATAATGATAATGATAATTAAAAGATAATTATTAAAGTAATGAATTGATGGATTTTGAAAGGATTGCACTAAGGTATGTAATAAATAAAATTATAGAAAAGTAGAAAGAAATATGTGTATATATGTATTTGATTATAATAAAAAAAATCATGAATTTAATTTCTTCTTTCTGTTCTTTTGATTTTGATTTAGTTAATATTTATTTTTAATTTATTTGTTTCCCTTTTTTTCAGAGAAAAGTTCACCATCATTGAGCACAAATATTTTGTTCAATTTAAGTCAGGATGTTCGAATGTTCCCTTCTCTTTCTTTTTTGATGATATTTTGTTTTAATTTATATTTTAATATCATACGTCAAAAAGCAATCATGCTAAAAACACCATCAGCAAAAATAATTGTATGTTGTTTATAATAACCAAACTCCGACCAT